TTCTAGGGAATCTAAATGAGTGCACAGAGTTGTCTGAACAAGAGAAGATATGAAGTTACACAGCAAATCATCTAGAGATAGTTTGCCTTTTGTAAGTTCTGGACTGAGAATGAATATAGTAGTGTGGAAGATGGAATTGGGACCATGGTTTTTCTTTGCCAGCAGCAACAAATTAGGAATATATTGAGCAGAATCAACCTTTTATTGTTTCATGAGTTGTTCAAGGGCAGAAGTGCTATGGAGGGATAGGGGATACATCTTGGTAAGTTATGACTTGTTTTTAACTATTGTTTGCGGTAGAAGCCACAATAATTGGATTCCCAAGTTGTGATTGGCGATAAACATGATTTGCAAACCCCAGTGGCTCAGTTTGCAGATCATGATAATCCATGAATGAATGAATGAATGAATGAATGAATGAATGAATGAATGAATGAATGAATATGTCTTATACCAGTGCCTGAATGCTTTCTATGACAGCTTTAGGTCAAAGAGAGCCAGATCTACTATTAAGCTTTTGGCTCAACTGGTCTTCTTTTTGTACATTATGCAAATCTGTACAAAAAGATTTGTTTTGTATCCCGAAGCAAGCCTACATGATGGCTAAATAAACTGTTGCTTAGCATGCTGAAGGAACCCACTGTCTAGTATATCTCTCCATTACTGGAATTTGCTTAACTCTCTTTGTTTTATAATGTTGTCAAAGTTAGCCAGTATTTCTCAACTTTTTTATAGGGCTATTTATATTCCAATACATAATGCAGTAAAAGTTGAACTGTGTGGTTAATCATTGTGTTACAAGTAATATTGATCATTTGTATCTCTATCACTATCACAAACACATCAATATTGCTTACAAGAGGGATGATCTATGAAATAATATTTTTTAAAAAAAATATCTACTCAATACTACATAACTGAATAATAAAAAAATTAAATACCCTTTGTGGTTCCTGAAAATTCATTTTTGGATTACATATGTTTTTTATCTTGCTACTCATAATCAGTATTTTTTCAAGTAAATATAAAAAGTGTCTTAACTTTTTTTGAGCAAGATATATATTTATAACTTAAATTTAAACAATTATGTTTTAACATATGATCTTACATTTGAGACTGTTTTTATATCTGTGTAAAAATATGAATGTACTAGAAAAGGCAATGTATAATAGTAAATTCAGGCTCCATCCCCTTTTATATTTCTTAGCAATAGGGTGCCCTAAGAAAAGTGCAAATGTTCATCATGTCAACTGTTAAAGACCTACTGTGGTGATGCAAAGAAAACACATTTTTTTAAATCACTGGTGCTTATACACACACACACACACACACACACAGAGAGAGAGAGAGAGAGAGAGAGAGAGAGAGAGAGAGAGAGAGAGAGAGAGAGAGAGAGAGAGAGAGAGAGAGAGA